GGCATCCAACCTATGCCTGGTCATACATTTTTGCTAAAATTTTAGTAGTATTGATAACAGTTGACACATTAACTGATTTTTCCCTCTATGAATTAGTCTGCAGGTTCAAACAAAGAGGAAAAAGGGAAGAAGGGGAAGAAAGGGAAAACAAAGGATGAACCTGTGAAGAAACAGTCCCAGAAACCGAGAGGTGGACCGAGGGTTTCAGAGGGCATTAAGGGGACTCCGTCCCTTGAGGTCCTCACTCATGACCTACAAGACTTGGCCGTGGACGAGCCCCATGACGACAAGGTAAGGCTACCGCCTATGTGGGGTGCTGCCCAGCCAGCCGGGGTTCCCGGGCCTGGGCACAAATGGCACCCTCCTGTTAATGGGAAATCATCCTCGCAGTACCACCTGAGAGACATAATTTTATAGTCTCTAAACCTACTGATCATAGCTGAGAAAAAGTCTAACCACATGCCTTTAGAAAATAATCAGTTTGGGCCAGGGATTTAGTCTAGTGGTTCCACCACCTGCTTCACAAGCAAAAGGACCCGATTTGGATCTCTAGTACCAAAAAAAAGAAAATCAGTTTTCAGCCACTCTGTTCTCTCTTCATGTGGCCCACCCTCTCACTGTGGGGTATACTTCTTTTCCTACTTTTACCAGACCTACACTTGCTCTGTTTTTTTTCATACCTTTCATAAAACTTCACTGTTAAAAAAGAAGAGAATTGGTTCTCTGGAGTGGCTTTATGATGGGAGCTTAATTAAACTCATACCAGGACTTGGGATTATGCTAAAGATGCATTTTCTATAGGCTTGTATGTTGAATTATCTTATGTAATGTTCAAAGTAGCTAGTTTCAGGGCCAAGTCCTCAGGTGTGAGAGCAACAATTGAGGAGGTAATGGTTTTCCAGCCAAGATGCTTGCCTACTTGTTTTATGTGAGTACAGGAAGTCCAAACTTCAGTGCATCTTCTTGCATGAATTACCAATTTTGAAATTTTAAGCATTCTTTGTAATTTTGTATAAAGTATGAAAATTTTTACTTTCGTGGTCAGCATTATCTTTACATAGTTATAATTCCGTGCTTAGTACAGGTGACATTTACAGAGATTTTGTATTACTTTTCATCCCTGTTGAAGTGTTGTCATTTAATAATTCTACAACTTATTTTGGGTCTCACAGTTTTACACTAATAGCATATTTTGTAACTTGTTTTGTTCGAGACAGGGTCTGTTTTATTGTTCAGGCTAGCTCATTATGTAGCCCAGGCTGACCTCAAACTCAAGCACTCCTCCTGCCTCGGCCTCACAAGTGCTGAGATTACAGACGTGCACTACCATGCCTATCTCATAATTTACTCTGTAAAACCTAGACCCAAAAATATTCCTTAGTGGTGTTATTAGTCTTCTTTCGTAGGTAGGTGCTATGGTCTGAATGTTAGTATTTCCTGTTGAAAATCCTGGGTTGGGTCCTAAACTCTCAGTGTGATAGGAAAGGGATTAACCTTTACAAAAGAGGCAGAAGAGAAGACAGCACCTGATCTTGGCACTTACAACTTGTAGAACTGTAGAAGTAAGTTTCTTTTATTTATATATTGTCCAGTCTAAGGTATTTCTTACGGCAGCCTGAATAGACTGAGACAGTACATTATCTCCAAGAGTTTTCTTATGTAGGTTCACAAAATTGTTTATCTTAGTATTTGAAATTTATCCTAAAACTCGGAGATTAAAAAATAAAAGTTCTCATCAGAATTTTCATCTTCTTTTCTCTGAACATAGCAAGCTCAGTTATTTTAAGTTGTCCTCACATCTTTTGTTGTTTTGCCGTATACCCTATGTGAAATGTGCCTCTCTTCCGGCTTCAGAGACCTTCCTGTTTTCTCAGTGGGCACTGGCATTGCTTGCTGAAATAGTAAACACTTACAAACACTGAGTCTACCTCTGGGTCTTGGGACTCTGGAGAACACACAACCTTGGGGGCCCTGTTCTGTAAGTTAGGTGTGGTAGTTTTGTATCACTTTCTCTCTTCATTGTTTATTGGTGTGGAATTTCTAGCTGACTTTTACATTTCTGTTTGGAACAGGAAGAACAAGATCTGGATCAGCAGGGAAATGAGGTATGATTTTGTATAGATCCTTGCAGTCCTTTTCCACAGTATTTGCTTCTGCCTGATTAAGATTGCAGCACCCAGAGTCAAACTTACTGAGTTTGAATCCCCCCTCTGCAAGATACAACTGTCTAAACTTGGAAACATTCTTGTGCCTCTTTATTATGGGGACAAGAATTGTCCTTACAAGGAGAGTTATTTTGAGAACTAATGTATCTTTAGAAAAGTTTATGGCACCCAGCAAACATTCAGGTACTATATTCATTACTAAGGATTTTATCTTAAATCTGAATGTACTCATATGGTTAAATAAAAGCAATTTTGTAGGCATCAAGTCTATTCAGGCTGCCATAAGAAATACCTTAGACTGGACAGTATATAAATAAAACACTTAAACCCTGGGTTTCTCCCAATCACTTACTGGTCCAATTATTTAAATACAGGATGACCAAAAATTACAATTTTTATAAGTTTTATAACAGGAAATACAAAGACAACAACTTTATCAAAAGTATTCAGTATAAGAAGTGACTGCCTGAGATAGTACCTAAACACACGCACTGCCCAAGTGCCACTTGTGGTAAGCTGTTAAGTGGTTAAAAAGAAGTAAGGACTATCTAGCCCAGGGTTATGAGACAGATAATTCCTGTCATTAGGACTGTCTCATAGAAAATTCAGCCACATTCCTGGCCTTCCCCACTCGATGGCAGTGGTGCCTCTGGCTTCCTCAGCTCCTCCCCCACTGAAGACCACAGTTCTCTCCGTGCACTGTACAGTGTCTCTGGGGCAGGGCACAACCCTTGCTCAGGAGTCACTGACTGAGGCAGAAGGTAAAAAATGTAAGTCCCATTTCTGTGCAAAAGACTTAAATCTCTTTTTGTTCATTACTGTACGTCCTCACAGTCTTTCTGCAACTTTGGTGGTAATATCGAAGTTTTCTCTCCCTTTCTCCAAAACTATGTGGTATTTTGAAAATTATTTTTCTCAATATTATGATTCGCAAAAATTTAAGTTCTTGGAAATCTTTGAACATTCTTCAACTGCTGTTGCTACTTAAGACTATATATGTCTGCTAGCAAAGGATAAAAATATGTTAAGAGGGGCTGGGGATTTAGCTCAGCGGCATAGTGCCTGCCTGGCAGTGCAAGGTCCTTAGTTCAATCCCCAGTACGAAAAAGAAAGAAAGAAAAAGAAAATGTTGATAATTTGACAGCGTTTTGTAGTTTTTTTTTTTTATTTTTTTTGTTGTTGTTGATGCTGGGGACTGAACTTAGTGTCTTATCCAAGCTAGAAGCCACTCAGTCATACTGCCAGCCCCTAGAGACTTCTTTGTCTAAGGCTAGTGCAAATCACCTTTATCATCTGGTTTTCCCCTTTATAGGAAAATCTGTTTGATTCTCTGACTGGCTCCCCACATCCTGAAGATATAGTACTATTTGCCATTCCAGTATGTGCGCCTTACACTACCATGACAAACTACAAGTAAGTCACCATTGGTTTACTCTAAACAGTTGTCACAACGATTTTCATGCACTGCTTTATAATCCCCATTTAGTAACTCATACAGTTTCTTTTTAAAGATATAAAGTGAAACTTACCCCTGGAGTTCAGAAAAAGGGAAAAGGTATTTAATTTGTTTGTTGTCGTTAATTACAATTTTAAACAGCTCAGTGACTGAACAGAAGTAGATTCTTCTCTTTTTTTTTATTTACAGCTGCAAAAACAGCTTTGAATAGTTTCATGCATTCCAAAGAAGCAACAGCAAGAGAAAAGGATTTATTCCGCAGTGTAAAGGTAAAGTTTTCCTTCAGACATTTGTGGAGATTGGTGGTATAATTAAGAATCGTATGGGCCAGGGGTTTAGCTCAGTGGCACTGCACCCTGCCTTGCAAGCGCAAAGTCCTGAGTTTGATCCCCTGTACTACAAAAAAAAATCCATAGAAGTTATTTTCTATAGTTTTGACAGAAAATGCTATCTCACTAGAAGTAGTAAAATAAGTAAAGGCACTTCAGCTAAAAATATTGGCATTGCCTTTCTTTGACATAAAAGGTCAATTAGTTATAAAAGAAACATGATTTATCATTTAGGATATGAAGATATTCAGCAATTTTCTTTTTTTAGGACACAGATTTATCAAGGAACATTCCTGGCAAAGTTAAAGTGTCTGCACCCAACCTTCTGAATGTAAAAAGGAAATAGCTAAAATGAACACCTTAAATATATGAGAAGAGTCAATTTTATATCCTTTTGGAAGTTCAAAGATGGAAACACCATGTAACAGGACTTCTGCATTTAAAATGAACTAATCATTGCCTTGCTATATTCGCCAAAAGGACTTAATTCTTGTTTTTCTGGTTTTATATAGAGGGAAACTAAGATAGGATTTCCTAAAATATATGTCGAAAGCTAAATGCTAATTATGTATATCTGTAGTTATTCTACATTTTGTTAAAATTTGGAAAATACTAAGCATTTCATGATATAAAAAAATTAAGACAGTTGACATGTTCAATTTACTTAAACTACTGACTTAGTAGTCTGCTGTATATAACACCTAATTTATATATATATATATATATATATATAAAACAAGCCAATCATGAGAGGCTTTTTGTTCTTGTGGGAGTGGGGGCAATTAAACATTTAGGATTGTGTCTTGAAAACCTTGTCAAAAATACATTAGACCAGATATAAATAAATAATAATTCCCATGAATCAGCTTGAGGAATAACACCTAGAAAAAAAC